TGTTTTGTTCCATCATCTGTCTACCTGCGTCTTTCTGTCTCCCTGCGTGTCCATTGTCTGTCTACCTGCATTGGTCTGTCTGGCTGTCTCTGTCTATTTATCTGTGTCTGTCCATCTTGTCTGTCTATGTCTTTCTGCCTATCTGAGCTTGCTTCCGCGAGGAGGGCAGGGAATTAAATAAATAAATAAAAATTGGTGTCTTTCTGTCTACCTGCCTGTGTTGGTCTATCTCTCTGGCATCTGTCTCTGGCTGTCCATCTGCCTGTCTACCTGTGTTGGTCTGTCTGGCCATCTCTGTCTCTGAGAGCCAGTTTGGGGTAGTGGTTAAGTGTGCAGACTCTAATCTGGGAGAACCGGGTTTGAGTCCCCTCTCCTTCACGTGCACCTGCTGGGTGACCTTGGGTCAGTTACAAGTTGTTTCAGAGCTGTTCTTGAAAGGGCAGTTCTGGAAAGAGCCCTCTCAGCCCCACCTACTGCACAGGCAGTGTTCCCTCTAAGCTGAGTTAGTGTGAGCTAGCTCAGTTTTTTAGCCTCTAGCTCACACCTTTCTGTCTTGGCTCAGGAAGGAGGGCTCCAGAGCAAACTAATTTATGCTGTAGCCAAATTGCTCACTCACAACTTTAATGGCAGTAGCTCACAAAGTAGAAGTTTTGCTCACAAAACTCCACAACTTAGAGGGAACATTGGTGGTGTGCCCCCTGAGAAAAACATGGGCCCCCTGAGCAAAAAGTTGTTAGCTACGGGCCTGCACCCAGCCCTCAGGTTTAACTGACAGAAGTTGGAGAGCAGATCCTAATGTGAGAGGCCAGATTTCCTCGGTGCATTGATCTTGATAAGTGAGATCCGTGAGCTTAAATGTTCATTTTACTATGGCCACGATCAGTCTCTTGCTGATATTAGTGGCACCTCAGTAAAAGTTGCAGTTAAGCTCTGTTCCATTGCTATCCCTTTGACTGGTAGCCCAGTCTTACATGGGCCTTCTTGGGAGTAAGTCCAGCAGAGTTCAGACAGAGTACATCCCAGATAACTTTCTACAAAATTATAGGGGTTTTGCTTGTTTGTTTTTTTCCCTGTCAAGTCACAGCTGAGTTATGGCAAACCCGAAGGGTTTTCAAGGCAAGAGACCTTCAGAGGTAGTTTGCCATGGCCTGTCTCTGCATAGTGACTCTAGACTTCCTTGGTGGTCTCCCATCCAAATGTTTACCAGGCTGACCCTGCTTAGCTTCTGAGATCTGAGAAGATCAGGCTGGCCTGGGCTATCCAGGTCAGGGGCAGCTATAGTTGTGAGCAGGGGTCATTTTTGGAAAAAGAGGTGCAGGAGCTCATTAGCATAACTTATTTGCATATGCCACACCCCCTGACATCACCGGAAGTGTGTCAGAAGGCAACACCCACCGCTCAGGCTCCAGTGGACTGCTAGCTATTTGGGGGGGGGTGAAGTGCAGATCTGTCCTCGCAGAGGAGGGAGAGCTTGTACCTGAATAAAACTTGGTCTTAAAGGTGCCACTGGACTGTTCTGGACCAGGGGGCCGGGGGGGGGGGGGGGGGCTCTGTAACTTACCTGGCTGCTTCTTGCTCTGACTGAGGACTGCTGGGAGCAGGGGGCGGGGCTTGTTGCATGTGCCCGCCCCCTGGGCTCTTTACTGCCAGAGCTCCGCTCCTGTGTGCTCCTGCAGGAAATGACCCCTGGTTGTGAGTAATTTTTGCTGGATTGACCTCTTTGAGATGAACAGCTTGTTCTTTCTTTCCCCAGAAAGAGGTCCTCATATGGGATGTATCCAGTGTGAGACTGAAAGACAAGGGTGTTTATGGGTTTTTATTCTTCCACACTGTCTTACTGAAATTCCGCCACATAAACTTAAAAAATAATCCAGTGATGCTTGGCACTGAGCTGGCCATCTTGAGAAAATGAATCTTGGTTGCCCTCTGTTGTTAATATCTGGAAGCACAGGATTATTTCCGAGCATCCACAGCAATATTAATACTTGGGCTGCACTTCGTGCACTGCAGTAAGCCCCTTTTTTCCTTTGCAGAAACGTTCTTCCTGTAGCGCAGTGGTGGGATGGGTGGGGTGGAAGGCTAATGAAACTATTATTCTCTGCACTGAGGCAAGCTCCCCTGCTGGTAATCAAGGGAAAAATATTTCAGTACAATAAATCCAGAGTCCAGTGGCACCTTTAAGACCAACAAAGGTTTATTCAATGTATGAGCTTTCGTGTGCGTATTGGTTTTTTATCTTATCACACATGCTAACTCATTCAGTCCTCACATATGTATTCTCAACAAGAAGGACTGTACATCCTCTGTTTTTAAATGTATTTCAGTGTGTTTCTTTTTCAGAATAGTCTATTAGAATACTGAATGTATGCAAGAGATATTAGGATGTCTGCTGACATGACAGAATTTTTTTGGAGGGGGAGGTAGTGTTAAGTGCCCTCCATGCCTGACAGGAGAGAGTGAAGATTCCCAGCCACGTCCCACAATTAGAAAAGACACCTTTGGGCATTTATCTGCTAGTTTGACATATTCAGGAGCTGCGGTGGCTCAAGTGGTTAAGATGCTGAACTGCAGGCTGTGGAAGGTCAGTAGTTCAGCAGTTCAAGACCCGAGTGTGCCGCATGACGGAGTGAGCTCCCGTCTCTAGTTCCAGCTCCTGCCAACCGAGCAGTTCGAAAGCAAGAAATTGCAAGTAGATAAATAGGTATCACTTCGGTGGGAAGGTAACAGCTTTCCGTGCGCCTTGGTGTTTAGTCATGCCGGCCACATGACCATGGAAACGTCTTCGGACAGCACCGTCTCTTCGGCTTTGAAACGGAGATGAGCACCGCAACCCTAGAGTCGGACTCGACTGGCTTTCGAGCAAGGGAAACCTTTACCCTTTACCTTTTTTGACATATTCATTGCTTTGCAACTGTTGACCCTATAACCTTAACTTGATATTTAGTGTCACTTTGCATGTCTTGATCATCATCACGTTGCATGTTAATTTGCTGTGCATTTTCCGGCTATGAGTCTGAACCTTGCCTGCCATTCCAATGCATTTGACAAAGTGTGCCTTGCACACGGAAGCTCATACCTTGAATAAACCTTTCCTGGTCTTAAAGGTGCCCCTGGAGTCTAAATCTGTTGTACTCCTTCAGACCAACACGGCTGACCGCCAGGATCTATCTTCATGGAAAACGTTTCAATACTTAGAGTCGTGTGGGTTTTTTAAAAAGTTAATTGTACTGCATCATTGTGCTACAGCTGAAGGTGATTTAAATGTGCAAAAGAGGATTCCGTTCTCATCTTTAGCAATTAGAGTCTGTTCTCTCCCTTGAAGCCGGTATAATGTTTCACTGCAAAAGGGGTGCTGTGGATTGGGTGGGGAGGAGGAGAATCAATTTCCAATTGAGTTTGTTCTGAAATATTTTTACCTTGCTCCTCCTAAGCGCACTGTGGCTCAGATAGAGTCTACTGTGGGGACCCTGTTTGGTGAGGTGGCACAGAAATGTCTTAGATAGAGGGTGGTGGTGGAAAGTGCCAGCAGGTTGACTTATTTATTATGATTTATTTATGATTTTCGATTTATAACCCGCCTTTCCTGCGCAGGCAGGCTCAAGCCGGCGTACAACAGGTTAAAATGCAATAAAACACAGATGCATAAATGCAGTACTCTAAAATTCACATAGCAAACAATATACGTACGAAGTGCAGTTAAGTGCAGATGGTGATTGCTGTATGGTGGTCCGGTGTGGCTAAACCAGTATCCATAGTTGTTCTTAACATGAGGGCCATAACAGTTCAGTTTTTAATAACTCATTCCTCAATGGCGGCTCCTAATCGAAGGCCTGGTGGGAGAACTCCGCTTTACAGGCCCTGTGGAACTGTAAGAGGTCTTCCGGGAGCTCTTGTGGCGACCCCGTGGGGTTTTCAAGGCAAGAGACGTTCAGAGGTGGTTGGCCATTTCCTTACTGTGTGTAATGGCCCTGCACTTCCGTGGTGGCCTCCCGTCCAACTACTAACCAGGGCCGATCCTGCCTTAGCTTCCAAGATCTGGCAAGATTCAGGTGGCCTGGCCCATCCAGGCCATGGTGCTGAACAGGTTAAAAGGTATCTTTAAATAGATTAAAGGCATAAATACAATATTTGAATGTAAAAAGTGGCTACTTAAAAAAATAATTATTAAGCACCAGTAATTACATTTCCCCTCTGTTGAATTGCATGAGCGCTCTCACCAGGTCGCAAAGGCCAACATAGGCCCCGGTCACACGGCAAAGTTGCCACGGGAGAGGCACGGATGGTGGGCGGATTATCCGGGCGCGGTCACACCCCAACATCTGGGAAGTGGAGCGCACCCGTGGCTTACCGCCGACAATGCGAGTTAAAAAACTAGTACCTCCAAGGTACTAGTAAACGTTTGCCATGGGTTGCCTCCAGACCCCCATGGTGTGATCGCGCTGGCGCGCGGCATTCCCCTGCGGTCCCTCGTTTACCTGCTGGCACCGAGGTAAGGACCCCTGGTGTGCCGCCGGCGAGTCTGATCGTGTAATCGCGGATCAAACTGTGCCGGGGCAATTAGCCACGCCTTCCCCCCCCCCCAAAAGCAATATCCAACCCGTGTGACCAGGGCCACTAAAAGCCAGGTTTTACAGCCTTTTTAAATGCCAGCAAGGCTGGGAGCCGCCGGATTTCTTCTGGTAATCCCTTGCACACTCGACCTTCTTCCAAAAATGCCCATCCCCCTCACTGACTGTAATCTGGCTTCTTGAAAAGGGGGGACCATCAGCAAAGGTCACCGGACAGGTCTTAAACCTGTACAGGGGTCCGTGGTGATTAAGGTGGTCCTTTTGAGCTCTGAAGATTGCCGAGTGGGAGGGGTGTTTATGTCTTGTCCTAACTATCAGGGACTCTGAGCTTAAACCAGAACCCCAGGCTCTCAGTACCACCCAACCCGTGGCCCAAAATTTTTTATCCAGAAGGACTTCTTGAGGAGCTAGCCCCAAGAAGAGAATTCCAGTATTCCAATGACAAAGAGGCAGGAGGTTGGTCGCCAGGCACTTTGAAGCCTCCAGGTTGGCCAGCCGGCATTTTCTCCCTGCTACTCTACAAACTCCTGTTTCCAGCTTGAGTCACTGACCCGTAGGGACCCTGTGCTGGAGAACACATCCTTCAGGTGTAGCTACCCGTTGCTTGGCCCTAGTTTGTCTTGCAGAGTCTGAGAGAAAGGCTTCAAATATGATCAAATAAATGTCAATTCTAAAGTCTCTCCTGGATAAGCATATGGAGTAGAGGTCCATCAGTGGCTATTAACCACAAGGTATAGATAGGGGCTCTGGGGCAAGTGATGCTCTGTCTTCTTGGTGCTTGGGGGGGGGTCAACAGTGGGAGGGCTTCTAATGTCCTGGCCCCACGGGTGGACCTCCTGATGGCACCTGGTATTTTTGGCCACTGTGTGACAGAGTGTTGGACTGGATGGGCCATTGGCCTGATCCAGCATTGGCGTCTCTTATGTTCTTATGATGGCACTGCGCTTCTGTATGACTAGTGGGTCCCCCCCCCCTTAATTAACAGAGTCATTCCAGGGTTTCTTTAAACTCCAATATGTTTGTGGACAAGGATCTAAGTTCCAAGATGGCTTCTGCTTTTGTGAGGGGCGAACTTGACTTTGATCTGTCGTTTTCAGGTATGGCCGGAGCCGTCCACTTCCTCTCTGACATATCAGCCCCCGAGAAGTCCCGCTTCCCTGCATTTGAACTCGGCCCTCAAAAGAAAGGGAACAAAGAGGAGAACGACAGCTAAGTGGGAGCTCGAGGTGATGCCAGGAGTGGCAAAACGACCGTCCCGTCGGGGGCCTCAAGGATGCCGAACCGACCGAGCAAAGGGACGAGCGAAAACCCTTTTTCACCTGTTCTCCTCACGGCCACATTTGTTATTGCCGCATGAAGAAGAGGATTTCACGCCGCCAATGTTTCATTTTGTGAGATACTGTAAGCCACAGCAGGAGAACGACCTTCGGTTTGTAGGGAGCGCTCTCTTTCAGTTGTCACTGTTGTCTCTTCGGGTCTCTTGAGTGTTGACATGTTTGGTGTTGTCCGTAAGCGTGAAGTTCTGTTTTGTTTTTTCCTGTTGTTGTAAAGCTGAAAACCCAGTCTGCGCATGGCTGTAATGGCAACAGCACCTCTCTTTCGACAGCTACTAAATACAAGAAATCTCTCTTCGTCTGCCACAATGAACAAGGGCAGGTAACTGAATCCAGATTCTTGGTTCGGTTGATCCTCCTACAGCCTGAGAAGTCAAATGGTGTCGAGTGCAAATTGTTTTGCCATTGTGAGGACGTCGAGGGGGCGAAGCCAATTAAAGTTAAGCGCTTTTAACTTCCTATTGATTTTCAGTGAGAAAGTGAAGCATGGGCTGAAATAGTTCTTAGCGGAATCAAGAGTCCTTAAACGCACTTGAGTTTTTGGCTGAATTACGCTTCAAGTTCCCCCCACACACACACACTGTGAACATTTGAAAGTGGGAAGACTTTTCAAGTCCCCATGAAGCGGGGAGAAAGGTAGACAAGCCCTAAACTGACCTCACTTGAAATCAGCAGGGTTGGGCCTTTTGTGTCTCGAGCGCATTTCAGCAGATATGGGTTTTGATCTTTCTCGAAATGTCGTGAGTGCAGTTTCCGTGCACTTTTTTTTAATGGGTCCACTTTTCACATGAGGGCATGTTAAGTGATTTCTCTAAGTAAAAGATGACCGGTTAATGCAGTAAAGGTTGAAGTAGCCCACTGCCCTCTGTTTTGCTGTTTACTGGGGCAAGGCCATAACCACAGTCCCACCCCTTTGGGAGGGCAGAACCCCCCCCCCACTCCCTCCAGTGGAGTACGGAGCCTGTCGATGGAAGTAGGCCAGAGATAAATTGGGGCCCTTGACCTAGCTGGTGACAGGAAAAGATTAAGGGGAATAACTGGCTGTTCTTTTCAGACCTTCTCAAATGAGGATGAAAGAACTGGTTCTTATTTACCGTGACACTGTTAAGTTTCTCTTCTGGGTGATGCAGGAGATCCCATTTTGGCTTTTCAGTGTCTGGAACAGCAACATTAACTTTGTGAGATCCATGTATTCAGGAGCTGCACAGTGCAAGTATGCTCCTCATGCCAACAGGTCCCAACAAGTCGAGTGTTCCTCTTTTGTGTGTGTTCCAGTTCTACATCTTCTGAGTAAAGCTAAGCAAAATAAAATAAATTTTGTATCATAGGCTTACCCTTTGAGGGAAAGACGGTTGGCTGAAAACAAACCAACACCTTCCAGTTGTTAGTTGAGGAATGAGCACCGCTTCCACAGCGGGGTATTAAAGATTGTTGTCTTGAATTGAGCAGAATTTTTGTTGCACCGTTTTCTTAGCCCAGGAGGAAATGGAACGGTCTCCCTTGCAGTCAATGGGAGCATTTTGTAGGAGGCATCAAAAGCTTTTTTTGGAGGGGAAGGAGATTCAGTTGTCACAATGTTTTGCTGTTGCGAGTTCTTTTCCAAAAAATAAATATCTTTATCTAAATGTGAATGTGTTTGGAACAATTATTTCTTACCTGTCCCTGTTTTAAGGAAAGCTAAAGGCTGTATCACCATTTTGAGTGTTTCCTGGGTATGCCAGAAAATGTAGAATTGGTCAGTTTCATTGCACCAATTCTGTACCACTGGTACGTGTGTGTGGAAGGTAACCTTGTAATGACTTTCTGCCATGAAGTCCTAAGTGGGCATTGGGAGAGATCAATGAAAGGGAGCTGTTTTTGGTGGCAAGCCCGTGTCTTTGCATAGTATGTATACCCAGCATTACATACTGAGCCAGTTAATTTTTTTTCTTGGAAACGTGTCTGTCTTAAATTCAATCAGATTTACTTCTGAGTACAGGAGAACAAAGTTGCAGCCTTTGTGTGAAGCTACTGGTATGAAGAAGAAGAGGAGATTGGATTTATACCCCGCCCTTCACTACCTAAAGGTATCTCAGAGCGGCTTACATACTCCTTTCCCTTCCCCTCCCCACAAGAGACACCCTGTGAGGTGGGTGGGGCTGAGAGAGCTCTGTCAGAAACTTCTCTTTTTCAAGGACAGCTCTTAGCAGAACTACGGCTTGCCCAAGGTCATCCAGCAGGTGCAAGTGGAGGAGTGGGGAATCAAACCCGATTCTCCCAGATTAGAGTCCGTGCACTTAACCACTACACCAAAGCAAGAGGGTTTGCTGTGTAAGGAAAAAGACAGCACTGAAGGCAAGGAAAGTGCTTGTGCTCTAACCTCCCTCCTTAGACAGCCTGATGTGTTCACAGCTGGATCACGAGCAAGTTTATTTGAAAATAAAACCCATTGGGCTTAACTGGGATATCCTTTCTAGCGAGTGTGCGTGAGATCTGAATTGTCAATCAGAAAATGATTCAGACCACTCACTTTTGCAGCTATAAATATTATGGAAGTGGAAGATTATTGGCTGTGGACGGGCCTCAAGTTGTGTGGAAGAGGGAGGGTTTGCTTTTTCCACTTTCTCTACCACCGTGCATGCTTTTTATAAACCTCAACCATGACCCCCCCCCGCCGCCATCTTTTTTCCAAACTGAAAAGTCCCAAACTCTTCTTTTTTTGCTGTCAAGTCACAGTTCACTTATGGTGACCCCACAGGGTTTACAGGGCAAGCGATGAACAAAGGTGGTTTGCCATTGCCTCCCTCTGCGTTGCAGACCTGGACTATCTTGTTGGGAGATTGGGCTAGCCTGGGCTATCCAGGCCAAGGCCCCAAACTCTTTAGCCTTGTCTTACAAGCAAGGTGTTCCAACCCCCTACACACCTCGGGCTCCCTCTTCTGCACTTTTTCCAGCTCTACATGATCATCTTTTTGCCCCAGATGCAGTGACCAGAACTCTGAACAGTATTCCAAATAAAACACCATAAGTCAATGCAGGAGCATTTGCAATAGTTATTTATTTAGAATATTTCTATGCAGCCTTGTTAGATTCCTGCTCGAGGCAGCTTACAATATGGCCCATTTTATTTTCAGTCACTTTCCTAATAATCCCTAGTATGAATATTGCCTGTTGGAGATAGATGTGCCCTGTGGAAAAAGGTATGCATCTGGTATACATCAAAATGTTGCACTACTGAGTTTTCTAATTTAATTTTGTATCCTCTTTGGAGAATACTTTAATTGTTCAGTGCATCCGATGGGGATTTAGGCACAAAATCCTTTATAAATGCATTTTCAGAGGCTCCCTGCATGGAGATTTTAGAAATATGTCTTCAAGTTTTAAATCTTCACCATACTTTTTTTCCCTCGAGGAAAAAAGATTATCCAACCTTGTTTTTGAGATTTGTCAGTTGCATTTCCTGACCTCAGCAAATCAAGGACTTAAGACAGATGTGCTATCTGCTGTTTTCAGTAGGATTTCTGACTAATTGAGTCAATTTAGAAAAAAAGATTGCCCTTCACTACTTGAAGAAGTTTCAGAGTGGCTTACAATTCCCTTCCCCTCCCCGGCCACAACAAACACCCTGTGAGGTAGGTAGAGCTGAGAGTGCTCTTTGAGAACTGCCCTTGAGAGAGCAGCTCTGAAAGAACTTATGACTAACCCAAGGTCACACCAGCAGCTGCATGTGGAGGAGTGGGGAATCAGACCCAGTTCTCCCAGATTAGAGTTCACGCTCCTAACCATTACACCAAACTGGTTCTCAACAGCTCCCAACAGCTTGCCTAGCAGCAGTTGGCTTTTCCTTTATCTGTTTATCACAGCAAAACAACTTCAGTGAATTGTTTTCCTTAAATTAGCCTTTGAAAGCACATCTTGAGAAATCCTCTTGTAAGCAAGGCCCTGATCCAATTGTACAGGTGTGCAATCTCAGCCACATAGTGTGTCTAGTCTACCTATCAGTAGTTTAGTGAGCAAGAGGCAGCGACGATAACAGAAATGGAATGTCCTGTCCAGAACAGCCGCTTGGTGACATTTCACACATTCGATCATGACCATTTTAAAACCCTCCGCTGGTAGGCCAGATGGGAGCTTTGGCTGTGCAATATTTGACACATGTAACGAGAGAGAGAGTCCCCCCCTCCCAGAAAACCCCAAGGAGAAGGAGGGGCTGACTTGTTAAAGAGTCCTCTCGGGCAGAAAACATCGTCGTTGCTACAGATTTCACCAGTTTTAGTTACCAGTCTCAAATAGATTTTTGATGATACCATCCAGCACGGTACATATGTAGTGGTCTTCATGCATTCTAGGCTAGTAGACATTTAAGTGTCAAGAATGATTCCGACGCTAGCAAGAAAATTACAGTGCATGCCTAAACAAAATTACCCCAGTCTAAGCCCTGCTCCCCCCAAATAAAACAATTGGCTTTGCCTGGCTTAACTCTACATAGGATTGTCCAGGGCTCTTTTTGTAGAAAAAGCCCAGCAGGAACTCATTAGCATAATAGGCCACACCCATGACAGCACAGCTCATTAGCATATAAGGCCACACCCCCATGTTGCCAGAAGTGTGGTCATCCAGCCACACCCACCTTTTGCTTCTTATTCTGTTTACTTTGTTTGTTGTAAAAACCCAAGGCTTTTTTTGTAGCAGGAACTCCTTTGCATGTTAGGCCACACACCCCTAATGTAGCCAATCCTAATGAATTTCTGCTGTTGGGTGTGGCCTATTATGCTAATGAGTTCCTGCTGGGCGTGGCCAGCTCGGGAGCCAGCCGGAACTCCGTTCCTGCCCCAAAATAGCCCTGATTGTACCCATTAGCGTCTGAGGAGAGGCACAGAAAGCACCTCGGAACCAGCAGCCAGCCAGGGACCTAGCAGCACACCGGCCCCCGTAGCAGCCCCCGCAGCCGAGAGTCCTTCTCCAGAGCCTACCAGTCCGGTACCCAAGAGCTCGGCCCCGGCCCCGGAGGTCCGCCGCTCCACAAGGGAACAGAAGAGACCAGCATACTTAAAGGACTATGTCAGTTAGGGGTGATCTGGACTAAGGGGGGTGTTTTGTACCCGGAGAAACCGTGCACGCGGTCGGGTCCGCACATGGCCATGCGAACGGCCCAGGCTTCGCTTCCAGAGACAATAGCCCGAACGGATCCTAGGGTGCACCTATCGGACAGCTAGAATCCGAGAATGGACCTATGGGACTTGGGTGCACCGTGTGGGTGTGGGTGCATGGGTGTGGGTGTGGTTTACTACGGGGATATAAGCTGGCCTCCGGCCCGGCTACTCCATCTCCAGTTATCCTGTAAATTAATAAAGTATGAGCTGAAATCACTCCTCAATGCATCACCCTCAGTACTTTATACCACCCAAAAAGGCTATGCTGAGAATCATGAAGCCTACGGGTACAAAAGCCGTGTTGGATGGAGGCCGTAGTAGGGAGGAGAGTTGGATCACCTAGAATAAAAAAAGCTAGCTGGATCCGTCCCCCATTTCACAACGAAGCCTTACGCGACTTGCTTCTTCTGCTTGCATGATTTTAAAACAAGACCCCTGCCCCCTGTCTAATTGAATTATGGGTTGCAGGGGCTAATCTTGGTGGTGGTGGTGGAGGATAGAATACTAAGGAGGGCCGTTGCCTGAAGGTATGGTTGTATAGGATGACATATGCCCCCCCCCTCCAAACCCATGAGCCTATGATAATATATGCTGGATGTCATAATTTAGAAGTGGCAAAAACGAGACAGAGGTTGTGGCAGGTCCCGGTAGCAAGCAGCCTCTTTGCCTGTCAGCCACTCTGCAAAATTCGATTAGCATACTTGCCCTGAAGGGGCTCTCTTCCTTAACAAAGGTGCGTTTACTATTCTGGGCTTGCCGGCTGATAGGAAGAGGTACACAGCTGGCTACAATGGGAGGCACTGACAAAGGCAGGGTTTATAATAAACCTTCATTAGTGGATGTGCCTCTAGCACTTACCTCCGTTAGAATATAATGCTAATTAGCTCATGAGGGGCTTTGAGAACACGGCAAGTAGAAGGTGTTTCTAGAAAGGAAAATTTGCCCTTGGGACTGAAAAATGGCTGCATCACGACTTGGACTGCATCCTGCCCTCTTCGTTTTTTTAAAAACGAAAACCTTATTGGCCAGTCCAGCAAGGGAGAGTTGCAAGCTACAGCATCATGTATCTATAGTTGGCAAAAGTCCCTAATTGTTGTAGCCACATCGCAATGCTGATGGATTCCTGTTGAATGTGCTGGATGCAGTTTCTGATTCATCCTCCTTAACCTCTCTACCTAACCCCTACTATACCTCTTGTAGAAAAAAATAATTTTAAAAAGCCCGTACCAGCAATCTTCCATGGACAATGTAATGGGGGAATGATACCTTCCCCTGGGATCAACCTTTCATTTCCGAAAAACTTCATTGCAATTTTTAACACTTCACAGAAGAGAAGCCATACTTGGACAGGAAACTGTGGCTCCAGTCCCATGATGCATGTGAACTGACTGCACATACATGAACACTCCCCACCCCACGGCACACATATTCTCTCCCCTGTGCACAGAAGCAAGCGACTTATTTATCAGCAACTAACGGTGCAATTCTAAACACTCTTATAGTAAAGGTAAAGGTTTCCCTTGCTCGAAAGCCAGTCGAGTCCGACTCTAGGGTTGCGGTGCTCATCTCCGTTTCAAAGCCGAAGAGCCAGCGCTGTCCGAAGACGTTTCCGTGGTCATGTGGCCGGCATGACCAAACACCAAGGCGCACGGAATGCTGTTACCTTCCCACCGAAGTGGTACCTATTTATCTACTTGCAATTTCTTGCTTTCAAACTGCTAGGTTGGCAGGAGCTGGAACTAGAGATGGGAGCTCACTCCGTCATGCGGCACACTCGGGTCTAGGTAGACTAGACACACTCTTATATGAACACTGAAATAAATGGACTTAGGAGGATACAACTGTACTTAGAATCGCATTGTAAAGTGTTTTGCGCACCCAACACCTTTCTCAATTTACACATATATGAAATATATAGCTCTTTAAATATATGTAATATATAGCTCTTAATGGGCTCTTTAATAAAACCTTTTTAATGTTAAAAAATAATAAAGCAAAAAGCAGCTAAAAGAAAGCTTGTCAGTAGTCATTAAGTGACAGATCTAATCACAATTTTGCTTCTTTTTCGCTCCAACATTATCAAACAATTCCTCTAGAACAGTAGTTTGATTTCATTTGAAGAGCAGAAAATAATCTTTCAACAGTAACAAACAACACCATACGTTGGATTCCAATGTATAGCAGCAGAACTGACCTTAAAAATGAGTTCTTTCAGTTTTTAAAACCCACTGAAGAGTATAAAATTGTTGAATAGCACTCACCCGTTAACACTGCAGAATCCACTTCACTGAAAGAGAATTTATTGATTGATGTTATAAAGTGTCTGCAGTTCTTAAGATCCATTAGTTTAGAAAATAGATGCAAATCACCTAGTGCAGCTAAACGGACAACTGGACCAGCTTATGGGTTGGACCCAACCAGCTGTGAGAGTTGGACCATAAGGAAGGCCAAGCACCATAGAATAGATGCTTTCGAATTATGGTGCTGGAGAAAACTCCTGAGAGTCCCCTGGACTGCAAGGAGATCAAATCAGTCAATCCTAAAGGAAATCAACCCTGACTGTTCCCCGGAAGGTCAGATACTGAATCTGAAGCTCAAATACTTTGGCCACCAAATGAGAAGGGAGCACTCACTGGAGAAGACCCTGATGCTGGGAATGAGACCAACACAGCTACCCACCTGAACCCTCTTTAGACTACATGGTGTAAACTATAGGACTGAATGCTACACCTCGCATGCCATTCTGGCTTTGCCCCTAACACGCTAGCTGTCTAAGTGCGGGGATTTCCGCCCATAGAGAAGCCCCCACAACATGTGATTCCATCCGCTGTCCAATCATTCTGCCACAAGACCTACAGCTCGAGTGACTCTGGGTAAATTAACGGATGCCGTCAGAACGTTTCTAAAACACTTGCAAAATTTAATTACAATGATTTGAAGATTCAAACTGTGCTCTTCAGTTACATAGTTAATGGCCCAGCTAGGATACAAAGATTACAAAAGCTAAAAACATCAGCTCCACCAGAACAGTCATAGATCCAGAATCTCGGTCCAAGAGATACACCAAGGATATACAAACTGGATGTCTACTCAGATGTCCAGTTGGGATATTATCAGTATGTACCATGACAAGGAATCAGCTTTACCAGTTACTACACGCATTCACAAAATTAAAGAAGGATAGATGATAGTATGTCTTTTGCATCTGAGCTATGAATATCACAGCACTGGCAACACCAGCATATGATGAACATCCTCTGAACGGCTTAGGATACTAAGCCCTACACTGGGGTGAGAAAAGGATGAAGCGCAAGGGATGCTGGGGTGAACAGGAGAAGGTGGTGGTAATGAGCCCCCCCCCCCAATACAGCAGAGGGATGGTGGATGGGAAATTGCCAAGCAAAATGATTGGCTTGTGGGACAGCCAATGAGCATTAGCAGCCCATTGCAAGGGTTTGTGTTTGATGGTGCAAGCCCTCCACTAAGCTCTGGAGGGAGCTCGGGTTTCCTTCCATATCCTGTATCTAGCCCCACGTGGGATTTGAACTGGTGACCACTGGAAGGCCAGACCTCCACCTTCCCACTCTGCTCTGCCTTTCTCTGCACTCCTCCCTCCCCAGGTACGTATATGGCTGGTTGGTTAGAGAGCTGCTCCAATGGGTGTGAGAGATGTTGGTTCAGCTCGGTCCTCTTCCTTCGGATTTGTTGCTAACTGGGTTGCTGCTAGTCAAAATGGTGAGCTTGGCCTTCTTACCAGCACCCCCCTTGGTGAGATCCCCCCCCCGCCCCCGTGGGTGCTTTTCCCCAGTGCAAGGGGGGTGGGGGAGAGAATGACCAAAATGGGTTTCTGTGAATGTGCAGTTGCTGTCCTACGGTCTTCATCTCCCATGCCCAGCCAAAGGCTGATGCTCCTGAGCTAAATGCTGGGGTTGCCTGCCCCGCCTTACACTTGGGAGATAATATTTGTTTGTGTTTTCGGCAATACTGGGATTAATACACGTCCGTTCCAACTTTTGTACATGTTCAGATCAGAGCCCGCTTCTCAATAGTGCTTTCAACATACTCGATAACGGCAGTAAGATACCACAATCTGGGGAAACTGGTCTTTCAAATGCCCCATTTAGCAAAATACAAAACAGGGATTCCCCCTTTATCCTTCAGTCTAGAGCTGAAAGGGGAGACAAGGCCGGAAGTAACTTCTCTCCCTGCTTTCTCCTTCAGATGTTTTGTCTTCTCCTGTTTCCCTCTTTTGCCAGTCACAGGTAATTCCTGCTCTCCTGACCAGCAATAACGGAGAATGGACAAAATGGTCAGAGCGAGAAGAGAAAAGATGAGAGAGCAATGGCGGGTGCTCTTCTCATGCCCAGTTTTGAGGGGCAAAGTGATCATGAGGGGACCCACCTGAATCTATTTATTATTATTATTTATTATTTGTATTTATAGCCCACCCATCCCGCAAGCGTGCTCAGGGTGGGTAACATCCTAAAACATACAATAAATGCAAGCTATCTTCCCAAGAGGGGACCCAGCTGAATCTATTCATGAGGGGACTTGTTCCTGACGTTTTCCACACAAGTCGTCATTTCCTCAACATACACTCCCTGGCCCAAGATTTGTCCCGTCCTGGAGGACAGTGGATCACTTCCCAATATGAAGGACTTCCATTTGAGGAAATGACAAAGATGGGCGGAAATTAACTTCGACGGGATTTTGAAAGCGATGCCAGAAAGCGAAAGCCTGAAAAGAACGTGCAGAAGGAATACGAAAACATCCAAACCAAACTGAAGGTTTCACACATTACAGCAAGACAATCCCAGTTACAGGCATCCAGTAGACACTCAAGTGGAAGCTTTAGCCAACCGTCCTGTGACATTTCTGGTCACAGTCTCTATTTTATATCTTAAGTATACATTGGGGGGGGGGAACTTAAGCATACACCTAAGCCATGAGCAAAGGGGCCCCACATCAACAGCACAACCTACATTTTACTGTATTTTCATTTCATTAAATATTCCCTTTAGGAAAGAGATTTTTTTCCCCCTGGGCGACCAAAGTTTTGCGGCTCTGCATGGCAGCATCACTGTCGGTCTTGAAGCTTTTCCTCTGCCATGCATGTCAACAGCTTGGTATGACATCCACATCATTCACAGTACTTGTATATGTACTTATTCTTGGCAGCTATGTCCAAAAAAGAAACGTGGGCTGGAGTTCCTCCCAAGGTTTCTGCGAGTGAAACGTGGAAGCCTTGGTCAATCTGTCATTTCCCCCAGAGTTCCTCAGGGTTTGCTCCATCCAATCACTTCTTAAGAATTTGGTAACAAATACAGCTTGTTGCGTGACCAGTTTCAACTGGTTCGAGCTGTCCATCCCTCGCTCGCTCCCTCTCCACCTCGCCATCTATTTCAGACACTACATTTGGCTTTTACATCATTTTGTGCTTACTACCATACCGCGCCATGACGACGTCTTAAAATACGCCTTGGGATCCACAAAGAGAATAAATAAAAAGGAAAGCATAAAAGGTATTTAAATATAGGTTTCCGAGAAGGGAGGGGGGGAAGCATTTGAAAAGACTTGGCTCTGGTTCTGAAGGCGTTTGGAAGAGAATTGCTCTTTGCCGCAAAGCCGCAGCTCCTGTCCAAAGAATGCCAAGCTGGAGGCAGCCAAAGGAGGCCGGAGTATTCAGGAATCTTCCCTTGCTCCCAATCCCGCCCTGTTCTGACAAAATCAGCTTCTGCTGCAGCAGAGGGGTTATGTGGAAGTTTTCACAGCCTGCTCATACGGCGGGGGCGGCGTGTTGCAGTATGACGGGGGAGGCGGGTAAAGGGGGTTCACTTGCGGGGACTTCGGCTGGACGTGGTAGGCCATAGCCATGGGGTTCATCACCGCTCCTTCTGGCTCGGCGTAGTAGGGCATCCCTCCTGGAGACGGAGACAAAGAGAACAGATGGCATTTGTATGTGGAGTTATATTTTAAGAGCAATAAAAGCTTGACTGTCAAGGTAGTGGGTTTGAGGGTCAGCAAAAAAGCTCCATTGGCAAGATGTCAGGTGCAGACTAGGTTCAAAACTCAACTCAGTCATCTCCCTGGGTGACCTCGGGCTGGTCACTCTCCCTCTCTCAGACTACGCTACCTTCTAGAGGGCGGAAGAGCCGTGCATCTGAACTCCTTGAGAGAAAAGCAGGATGAAAATGGGACAAACAGCAAGTACCAGCAAGGCCACGTTTACAGGTGCACATTTCAGTTTCATACCAAATGGGGGAGGTCGCCACACCAAGGAGGAATAAAAAGATCTCTGCCACTTGTAGAAATTATATAACATAAAAGATACGCGTAAAACTGAACACTTTTGCTCCCATGTATTTCAATGGGAAAAGTGAAGCACACGCTTAATTCTCCCATGGCAATCCATTGGGTTTTAAATGCATTTCCATTTAAATTGTCTGTGATCTTGCCTTCTTTGGAAGATGAGTTCTTCAAGCGGCAGCCCATTCCACATTTGTGTGCCTGGACTCTGGAAAGCACCGAACAGATGCCACCCTCAGCATTAAGCACCTAGCATGATAGCCAGCGGTGGTGCATTCAATAGAAACCGCTATTAGGACGTTGAAGTCCTGTGCCTGAGAATCTCTGCTTTTGTGTTGTTTTTTAAGGGCAAGTTTCTAACCCCCTGAGGCAATTCTGACTGAAAAGTCAAAAGCCAGAGGGGTAGTTAAAGTAAGATTTCTAGTGTTGGAGGGTTGAGTTTCAATCAAATACAACACTATTTTCCTTAAGGACTAGGATTCTCTTTTCCAACAACAACAACACCACCCCCAGATTCTTCTATAGTTTGGGACAAAACTACCTTCACCGTGTAAGAAAATAAGGTCATTGGACTCAAGATAGAGAGATATATATCACTCCTATTCTTACGAAGATGAATCTTCCCCCGCAACCCTGGGTGCTTTCAGTATTGTTATCTGATTCAAATGCCGATGGACTGATAACAGTTAACGCGGCGCGGTTCCTGGCCAAGGTTGCTGCTCTCAAGAAACACTGACAATTTTATTACCTTTGCAAACACCTACACCGATTTTCAATCTTCGGAGGATTTTAGTTAGTTGGCTCCGCCCCAAGTGTAGTTAGGTTTTTATTCTCTGGGCTATGCCTGGGTTTTATATGTTTATTGATTGTGACTATGTATTTAGTCATATTTTATGTCAATTTTATGTATCTATTTTACCCCTTTTGCATTCTCTTCTGGTCAAGACTTCGGTAACATAGACCCGTAATAAATTGAATTGAATTGAACTGAAAATAAGGTATGAACACATATGAAGCTGCTTTATACCGAATCAGACCCTTGGTCCATCAAGATCGGCACTGACTACTCAGACAGACAGCGGCTCTCCAGGGTCTCGGGCAGAGGACTTTCCCATCACCTACTGCCTGGTCCTCTAAAATGGAGATGCTGGGGATTGAACCTGGGACCTGATGATCTACCACTGAGCCACAGCCCCTACCACAGTACTCCTTATTCAGTTCAATAACTGGAACTCGTATAAGGGAATATGATGCTACTCTATACTGATGTAAACCATGGGTCCACTTAGCTCAGTACTGTGACTAGAAGCTCTCTGGGATCTCAGTGTCAGCAAGCTGCCAAAAGGGTTTTTTCCCCCTCTCTCCCATGTATGCGCTTGTCTGCTTTCACTTTCCCATGTGTGCCTGTTGATGCGCTTAATTGCCTAGTTGCAGGAACGTCCATATCTCTCAAGGCCATAGGTGGTTGCTGCCGGATAGTTGCTTGGGTGATCTCATGGTACACTCCATGAGAAGCAAAGATGTTATGGTTATCTAGAAGCGTTGCTTCCCAGGCCCAAAGGCGTGGGCGGGAAGTCCCGCAATTGGGTCTCTGCTTTTTGAATGTACTATAATCCACTGTGCTCAATGCTTACCCCTCATTCTGAACAGTGATCCTGTTTACGCACCTATAGCTTCAAATAAAGTAAAACCTTTCTTGCAAGGTGTGTATTTCGTTGATGCTGTGGGAGTCTGACACTCAGGTAGAGAAAAAGTCTCTCCTAATGCCCACCTGAGATCTTTTAATGTGAGAGGGCGGAGACTGAGCGCAGGACCGTCTCCATTCAAGGCACACCGTCTGCTGTGCGATCCCCAGCCCCATTCCAGCAATTTGGAACCTTTTGTGAACATGTTCAATTTCTCTGGCAATTAGGACTGTTTGGAGTCGGGCCAGCTACTTAATTAACACGTATTTGCCCTAGTCATTACTTCAGAACACCCCCAGAACTTTTTGTTCCCTTTCATGCTTCCTGGGACAGGAAACAGCAGGCACAGGAGAAGAATGGGTGGGAAAGAATAATAAATACAGTGTGGTGTTAAGTGATCGTTTGGACCACAGCTCGGAATTCTTCGCTGCCCTGAGGATTCTTTTTTTTTTAATACATATGCACGCGTGCACACCCGATTTCTCACTTCCTCAGCAGCAAAAGCGTTGCCAAGTCTCAGTGCTGTGGCTCTGGAGTGCCAACCTGACTGGTTGGCAACACTCTAGCTCTAAAAGAACAGGGGAAGCCCTTGCCAAGCAAAGACCCAAGCTCACTCCTACAGTGGCATTCTGGCTTGGCTGCTTAGAAGGAAGGGAGCCATGGGGCAGGCCTCTTTGGTGAGCCAGTTTGGTGTAGTGGCTAAGTGCGCGGACTCTAATCGGGGAGAACCGGGTTTGATTCCCCACTCCTCCACTTGCACCTGGCTGGATGACCTTGGGCAAGCCATAGTTCTGGCACAGCTGTTCTTGAAAAAAGAGCAGTTTCTGTCAGAGCTCTCTCAGCCCCACCCACCTCACAGGGTGTCTGTTGTGGGGAGGGGAAGGAGTTTGTAAGCCGCTCTGAGACTCCTTCGGGTAGTGAACGGCAGGGTATAAATCCAATTGCTTCTCTTCTCTTCTCTTCTTCTTCTTGGCCTTCACTGTCTGCTGTTGTTTAAACCTCTGAACTCAAGATTCAGTTCCTGTTTCTCGATTCAGTACAGGATTTCGGACTGAATCACGTTCCTGGCTCACCGTGCAATCTTTATCTGCCCATTACTATCTATTTTTAAGTTTGTATCTACATTTTCATCCCATTCTTCCTCCAAGGAGCTGAGGGTGGCATACACAGCTCTACCCATATCCTCACGACAATCCTAGGAGGATGGTTAGGCAGAAAGAGGGCAAGGGGCCCAAGATTTTACAGCTGATTTGAACTGCAGTCTCCTGGCACTTTAACCACCACACCATAAATATGACTTCAATTTCCAGTTTGGTTGCTATATAAAGACAAAATTACCTGTTCCAAACTTTCTGGAGTTTGGGTCCTAGTGGCAAACATGCTGTGGAGCCCTGTTTTTGGACCCTCTTTTTAAAAATGAGGATGCACACTTACTGAGCTGGGGTGAGAAGGAGGCATCCATCTACCTTTAGAACTGCATATGCCTCCTAAAAAAAGGCCTGGCCCGACGAGAACAGAATATTACATTTGTTGTTGACTTGCATGCAAAGTACAGTTAGGTCATCTCCCTTAAACAGTCATCAAGGGTGGGTGGATTTGACTGGACAGATGTAATGCCTGACCTGCAGCATTGCTGTTAGGTGGCCGGGTGTACGATACGTTGTAAGTCGTTTCGTCAACCAGCGGTGGAGGATACATCCGCCTTCGGATGAAAAAACCCGCCCCGCAACAGAATAAAACTCCCATCATCAGAAGGAACCTGAGCAAAGGGAAGAGGAGAGAACAAGACAGTTTAGCTCACTGTTGCACCAATGTCTACCACCATTATTGCACAAATGTCTAGTCTAAACTAGGGGTTCCAGTGCAAAGAGGAACAACAACTAAGTAGTTCAGATATTCAGCCAAAGTACAAAGATCTAAAGGTCGATGTGTTTCCATATCTGAGGGCCTTTTGTGATGTTTTCTATTAGGGAGGTTAACCTCTCTGTCAGAAAAAAAAATTACATGTTTCCTGTAAACAAAAACATAACTGAACTATGGAATGACACAGCTCGGTTACCAGTACTATATTACATCCATTCTGCTGATGGTCCACTGGCTACCTATCAGTTACAGTTCAAGGTACTGGTTATCCCAAGGGTGTCTAACATGTGGATCAGGCCCCCGGAGGGCTTCTATCAGGCCCGCGGTGGAACTGGCTGTCTTCTGCTGCTTCTTCCAGTTCTGCTGCTGCTGCATCATCGTAGGTTTGCAGCTTACAGATACACACCTGAACAGCATACTCAAGTTTGCAACAGCACAGACATTTCGATGTAATAATTCAGAGCAAGAGGTGTCAGTTATCAGACACTGTTAAATAAACAATATATTGCAAGTGTGCTAATGTTTTAAGCATGTTTTTAACTTAAGTGAAAAACAACCCTTTGTGTCCCTGTCCTTTATAAAGTTTATATCTCCGCTACCTGGCATTACATTTTATGACACACATGGCCCGGCCCAACAAGGTCTCATTTATGTCAGATCTGGCCCTCATAACAAATGAGTTCGACACCCCTGGGTGATCCAATACAAAGCCTTGCGGAGCTTTGGACCTGCACACCTGCAGGACTGCCTCTCTTGCTATGCTCTGCAGTGACAGCTTCACTCATCTGAGGAAAGCCTCTGAAAGTGCCACCCTGCAAATGGGTAAGATCGACAGCTGACCGTACACATCCATTCTCTGTTGCGCCTCCCCCCACCTTGTGGAATGGCCTGTCTGAGGAGGCCAGGAAGGCCCACACACTTCTATCATTCTGCAGAATGTGCAGAACAGAAAAGTTCATAAGGATGTTTTTATAAAGAGATTTGGGCTGTAGTATGAAGGAACAGCCCAGGCTAGGCCAGTCTCTATTGAGATATATGTCTAGGTAATAGAGGTAGCAAGCAGTTACTAGATCAGTTTGATCTGTTTGACAGTCCTAGCTGTCATGCTAGTGATTAAGAACTTACAGCCAGGTGTTATACTAGCAGGTGGTCTCTATCAGGCATTGTTAGAGTAGATAATTAATTCACCTTGTTAGTGATGGGCTGGGTTTGGCATATTAGCTATCAGCTTGATAAGCTAGGTGGGGACTTAGTCTCTCAAAGCGAAGGCATGGTATGCTGTATGATAGCCTGTATATCTCTGTGTATAGATTCACCATTATATCTATATAAACTTTCTATGCACCTTCATCACCAGTTGGTCTCCAGCTTCTTATTTACTACACCCAATAGTCTCATCAGACCTTGGAAGCCAAGCAGGGTTAGTTCATAGTTTTACTATTATGGTCTTAAGACCAACATACAGAGTAAGCATAATCCAAGCAGGGCTGGTCCTCATTACTAATTGGATGGGAGACCACCAGGAAACTCCAGGGTTGCTAAGGAGGCAATGGCAAACCACCTCTATTAGTCTGTTGGCTTGAAAACTCCATAAGGGGTCGCCACAGATTGGCTGCAACTTGACGTCATTTTCCACCACCATAAAGGAACGGTTTTGGGAGGATGCCTCTTTATAGAAGGAACAAGAATACAATCTTTCCAAGTTCTTTTTGTATGTTTTATCCTGCTCTTTCTGCATGGTCTTCTACTTTTGTAATTGCATTTTCTGCATTTTTTTAATAATGCGCACCATGTCTTGAGAGACCGATTTCTTTTCTGAGAAACCGATTTCTTTTTTGCATTTCCCCCTAACTCCCGTAATCCAGGTCCTATTGCACTGTTTACTGGATGCCCTGTGGTGTCTGACGACACGGTTTTATATCGCGTGATCCGCCTTGAGTCTCAGCAAGACAGGCTGGCTATAAAGTAAATAAATAAAACTATCTTCTATGTGTATCAGGAGGCCATTGTTTGCCTCACCTTTTAAAACAGCACTGCATCTTCTCATTCTGAGGCATACCAGGCCTGGGAATAGCTCCCCCCCCCCTTGCCTGAGGCAAATAAGCATCGTCTCCAAGCAACCAGGAAGGAATATTAGAAACTCGACAGCTGGCGCTCTCTCTCTCTCTCTCTCTCTCTCTCTCTCTCTCTCTCTCTCTCTCTCTCTTATTTTTTAGGCCTTCAATGAACAATAAATGTGTAACAGGGGTTATAAATAAGCAGGAGGACCTAGACACAATTGTGTGGACTAGTAACTTCCAGAAACTTGTTTGTAAGGCTGAGGGACCCTCTACTCATCCCCAGACACAACATTATAATATAAATTCATAGATGACTGTCCCAAAAGGGCAAAACCCCTCATTCTTATCTCCTGTTATAACAACCTACCAGGTTTAAATTGAGAAATTGTGATTCTCAGAAAATACGTGAAGATAGCCAGGGACAATCAATAGCTGTTCCGACATTGACTAACTATAGATCAAAACAATGCACATCCTATTGCATGCAGAAACAGATGACAGGAACTCCACTGACTTCAAAAAGGTTAACGCTTTCTTCCTAGTACTTAAAGTGAATAGCTGCAATCCTATGCATAGATATTAGAAAGCAAGAAAGTTCAGGATTAGGCAGTATTTGACCTTTGTATCTAGTACCACTATTCCTAAATGATACTGGGGGGCCCTGCACTAAGGGTCCCCCAACTGGTTAAGCAGAATAATGAAAAGGATGGTACTACCACATGGCTGCCACAGGAACCAGAACCAATCACAAAATGGCTACCGTGAGGGGACATCGCAAAATGTTATGAGGTTCTAAGCCAAGGAGTGTCCTATGATGGAGGCATGTCTTGATTTGCCATAATATGATGCCTAAGAACATCCATGATGTCCTGACTCCTGACTACTCTGGTTTTTGAGGACTTTTAAAAGTTTCCATTGTACGTGACAGCCTTTTCAGCATTTCTGAAAATACAGATCCTGGAGTTTTCAGAGGTCACACTGTCCCTGTCTGAAGGACCTAATCTTGTTTATGCTCATGGAGTCACAACATCCTAGTATGTTGCTCTGTGAAGCTTCGTGGAAAGTTTTTTCCATGAACTTTTAGCTAAAAGAGGAGGTGGAATTAATGAGACAGAGAGCCTGAAATGATGCCAAAGAGTCTGCTGTATTTTATTCATGCTTGTTCCTTAAAACCTGCTATTTATATATTTTTTAAAACCCACAAAAAGGACACAGCGCTTTGGATCCTGTTTTTATTCTGTAGGAGAATAATCCTATTAATAGATTCTCCTCCTTTTCTGGTGGATTAAAGGCTGGCAACTGAGGTAACTGGATGAGGGCTTCGTAGATCCTGAGATGGCAAGCCTCCCCAAAAGGGACATTACACTACACAAGGATTATTACTGTGATAAGTGCACTAAACTAAATAAATAATACAGTACCGCAAATATCAGAAAATATATGCTGTTTAAATAAGTTAAAGTGATATGCTTTTTTTAACACAAATACAGTCAGTTTCAAATAAACAGAAGTGGTTTTTAATGAAGCAAATGACAGCCAAGCACCAAGATGACAGAGCATCACTTGCCCCAGAGTCCCTATCTATACCTTGTGGCTAACAGCCACAGAGGTCCATCAGTGGCTATCAGCCACAAGGTATAGATAGGGACTCTGGGGCAAGTGATGCTCTGTCATCTTGGTGCTTGGGGGGGTCAACAGTGGGAGGGCTTCTAATGTCCTGGACCCACTGGTGGACCTCCTGATGGTACTGGTATTTCTGGCCACTGTGTGATACAGAGTGTTGGACTGGATGGGCCTTTGGCCTGATCCAACATTGGCATCTCTTTATGTTCTTATGTTCTTATGTTAATAACGTGCTCTGGAATGTCATTTTGACATTCCTTCTTCTGAAGAAGATTCTATAGATAAGTTCCAGTGTTTTGTCTCATCTATAAGAGTAGAAATAAAGCCTGATGCTCACATATTTTTTCTTCATAGGTCAATAACAAAGCACAATTGCTAGTAGAAAGTTCATTTTGGGCAAGTTACAGTCAAACTCGCCCAAAATGAACTTTCTACTAGTAATTGTGCTTTGTTATTGACCTATGAAGAAAAAATTATCTATAGAATCTTGTTCAGAAGAAGGAACGTCGAACCGACACAGGACATTCCGGGGCACATTGTTAACATCATTTGCTTCATTAAAAACCACTCCTGTTTATTTGAAACTGACTTTATTTGGGTAAAAAAAGCATATCACTTTAACTTATTTAAACAGCATATATTTTCTGATATTTGCAGTACTGTATTATTTAGTTTAGCCCACTTATCACGGTAATAATCCTTGTGTAGTGTAATAGCCATATACTGTGTACCATACTCTGTTTGCTTATCCCCAAAAGGGACATCTGTGACAGGCAGCTGCTTCCAAATGGAAGTTCCCTGTAAAGAAGAAGAAGAAGAAGAAGAAGAAGAAGAAGAAGAAGAAGAAGAAGAAGAAGAAGAAGAAGAAGAAGAAGAAGAAGAAGAAGAAGAAGAAGAAGAAGAAGAGGAGGAGGAGGAGGAGGAGGAGGAGGAGATTGGATTTATACCCCGCCCTTCACTTGGAGTCTCAGAGCGGCTTACAAACTCCTTTCCCTTCCCCTCCCCACAACAGACACCCTGTGGGGTAGATGGGGCTGAGAGAGCTCTGACACAAACTGCTCTTTTTCAAGGACAGCTGTGCCAGAGCTTGTGACTGACCCAAGGTCATCCAGCCAGGTGCAAGTGGAGGAGTGGGGAATCAAACCCGGTTCTCCCAGATTAGAGTCCGTGCACTTAACCACTACACCAAACTGGTATACACAAAGATTGATACCACACTGGATTCTTCTGAAGTCTCTCCTGTTCCAGTGAGGTGGAGGGAAGTCAGGACTGGGTCTTGGCTTTGAGAAAGAAGCACGCTGGCACCAGGAAACTCATTAGTGTGTGCCATGGTGGCAGTCACTGCCCTACAGACATATTACTGATTGGCTGGGCCTCTCTGTTTTAGCCTATGGAAAACAATCTTAACATGTTTTGGTAAAAGTTTCCCAAAGTTGTAAAAAATATATAAATAACGCCTCTATATGGAAAGAGTAACGCTTACAAATAAGAACTGGTAAAGTTGTGAGGTAAAATTTTTGTGATTTTACTTCCAGAAGGAATTGTCAAGGCTATGTAGGCCTCTGGCAACGGCCTGCCAAACAGTGGGGGTCTTTCTAATCCAAATGGTTCACAAGTGATCAGTCAGTTCACTTCAGTGATCAACTGCAACTGTGAATCAAAAGTGTGATCAAACACTTAGGCTGCTTTCAGACATCACAAAGTTTCCAGTTAAGCTGTCAGAGAACATGGCTTGTGGAAGATTTCCTGGCCTGCAATGATCCATAGTTATGGCAAGCACCTCACCAGTCAGGAACCTCACCTGATCTCACCACACCAGTTAGGAATGTGGTTAGTATATCATGTAGTTAAAGTAAAGGTAAAGGTTCCCTTCCTGGAAAGCCAGTCGAATCCGACTCTAGGGTTGTGGTGCTCATCTCCGTTTCAAAGCCAAAGAGCCAGCGCTGTCCGAAGACATTTCCGTGGTCATGTGGCCGGCATGACTAAACACAAAGGCGCACGGAACGCTGTTACCTTCCCACTGAAGTGGTACCTATTTATCTACTTGCAATTTCTTGCTTTCGAACTGCTAGGTTGGCAGGAGGTCTCGAACTGCTGAACTACCGACCTTCCACAGCCTGCAGTTCAGCGTCTTAACCACTTGAGCCACCGCAGCTCCTTAAAAATCTCTGAAGGGAGCACCCGGATTGTGTAGTTAGCATCATGTAGCTAGCAATGCTCTAACAGAGAATCTGCCTCCCTGCACCAAAATATAGCTCCCAGGGTTCCCGGGGGGGGGGGAACCTATGACAGTTAACCTGGTATAAAACTGATGTAAGTTCATCCTATGGCAGTGCAACAAAATAGGTGCAACTTTTAACTGACTTACCAAAAGTACCATAGTCGCTGAATAGACAGAGTCCTTACACAGCACCTTGAGCCACAGCAGTCTTCGTAGGAACGGCATCTGCACACACACACAAACAAAAAATAGAGAGCATTTGGGAATTACAAAGCAAGAAGCCGCCTGGCAGAGACGTGCATTAGCAGGAAGGGAAAACCTCAGTGGGCTGCAATTCTGTCAAAGCCGGTCGTTTCAACTGTCAACACATTAGCTGAAGAGCAGACATGGAAGATTCAGCAACTGTGATTCCAGAAGAGCCACTTTGAAGAATGTCACTGGTGAGATTATACATCTGGAGGCAACAGCTGTGCTGCGCTGCTATGGGCTGCATAAAGGCACAGATGGGGCACTCCCTCGAGATTGGGAAGCGAAGCTAATTTGGACCTCTAAAGAAGCCAGCCTTTCTAATGCCCTCCCCGTCATGGATGCTAGTTCAGAGAGGCCTTCAGCCTTTGATTTGTGAGCCTTTTTGATTTACTTCGATCGTGTGAGGAGGGGGCCTTTCCCCAGGGACGAATTCGGAGAAGGTAAGCAACATGCCCTTTGCCTGGAAGCACACTCAGAAGTAAAGTGTCTCTATTTCCAACACAGGAGAGAGAAAAATAGAAGCCCATAAGAGTTGGTTGGTACAACATTGACCAATGACTCACACGTATGAATAAGCCATTACAGACAGATGTTTCGTATAAGAATAAAAAACATGATGAGCTTCTGAGGCCCAAAACAATACAAGGCAGACCCATATCCTTAAATAAGAGTCTCCTCTCCTGACATGTGAGATGGTGAGAGGGTCTGCTCAGCACTCCCTGCCAATGTACTCCTTTGATTCTTTGAACTGGTCCCTGTGGTAAGAAATTTTAGAAATATAGAAGGTTTGGGTTTAAAAATGAACCACATAGTTTATAAAATCCATGTATCTGTCTCTGTCTTTGCTAGCAAAACAGCAAACAGGCTTGGCCTGCTTCACTGAACCGAACCCCATGTTTCTTTGCAAGCCCTTTGTTCCAGGAAAATCTCTCGCAACATTTGCATTACATTGTTCATGAACCTAAAGAATTTGGAAACATTTAGAAATAAAAGATTGGTATGCACCTGCCATTAAGTCAAGGAAGCCAGAATATTTGCAATACTAAAGGCTTGCCTACATGCAGAAACTCACATCACGCCTCCAGCCAGCAGACAGTGCCTGACTGTCTACCTTGCTTCAAGGAAACAAAGAATATCCTGAAATTGTAACACTCTTGTGTTTGTCACTTAAAAATTTAGGTGCTATCTCGCATTGTTTTGCTAAAGCATCAGGGTAACCCCATTGCCTCTGGAATGTGGGAACATTTCCTGGGCCATAATGGCCCACATTACCAGGGCAGTTAGATTAATTGATGCAGTTTATAATTTCTATGGTTCTATCGAAATGTATGGGACCAATATGGTATAAAAGAAGGCAAGACGCTTCATTTCAGCACTGACTCTCGGAGATCCAGGGAAGGCTTTGTCTTTCGTGACCTCTCTGGGCCAGTCCAGAAGCTTCTGTGCATGGGGAAATCTTTGTTCTGTACATATAACCACTGACTGTCTCTTTTTTAGGAAGTAAGTATTCTGTTTTGTATTTCTTGCTTGTCTTTAGCTAATAGACTATTTTATTGTTTAAATAACCTTGTGTTGCATTCCAGCTAACTTTCTTTTAACATTCTACGCGCCTTGGTAAGGGGCACTCACCAGACCATCACGAACCTAAAGGGGGTGGGAACAGGTACAGGTAACACTTTATACAGGGTTAGTTTAGACTGCCAAGTGCTACAGTTTCATTTTTACGACAGTCCCCATTATGTTAATAGGACAGACTGGTATCTGTCACCGTCACAGGTAAAATGGGGTTCCCCGAGTCATCAAACATACAGTAACAAAGAAGACAGCAATCCAGTTATCGGCGTGCTTGTGGAAACCAGCCCACAAATGTCTCAGATGCATTTGTCTCCTGACCACAGACGTTGACGACTTTAGATAAAATAGGGCATGAGGGTGACAGCAAAGATAGGCATTCTTTCACAGAGGCACTATATTGCAAAATTCAAAGCAGGAGAGGCATCAATCGGGATAATGCTTGAAAACCATGACCAAAAATGCAAACAATTATGCAATTCCTTTGCTCAGAGGCCAGCGTACTAGATTTCGTTTTCTACTGAGATAGGAGGTGGTTAAAAAATTGATCAAGAGTCTCCCATTGATCAGGAAGCTCTCTTCATAGTTCACCTGGTCTTTATAGTTAATTCTGCAGTACCACCACATTTTGGGGCTGCAAAGGCCTACTGATAATGTGCACACCTAGGCAAGCCAGGGTGCCATACCCCTTTTCTCCACACGCAAAGGATGGTGAGGCGAGGCCACTCCATGGTGGAGAGGATCTCCTTTTAGCATAGGCAGAACTCATCCTCTTCCAGTCATGTGACTCTCACATACCTGTGCAATCCTGTTATTTCTTGCTCATGCTTGCAATGTGGTGGTTTTACTTCCTGGGGGGGGGGGGGGGGGGGGGTAAAAGTTGGGAAGATTGGTCCCGGCTCTGGAAAGGTTAGAGGCCACTTCCTTAGAGGAAGATTGGATGGGATATAGAGCAGAAGAGGGAGGGGAAAGTCACAAGGAGAACGGTGCGCCATTAGGCAGCCTTAAGCAAAGTGCATTTATTGCTCAATCACTCCCTCGGGCTTCTAATTCAAAGCCATTAGGAACATAGATTTTTCAGACTTCAGGACAAACCTGGCATGGACCAAAGCAGAGCTGCATCAGAGCTGAAAGTGTCTGAGACCTGTGTTCTCTATCCCTTTGCTTTCAGAAAAACCTCAGCTCCCCTTGCAATAATAATAGGACAGCTTTCAACAAGGAGACAAGGCCTGCAGTGTGCTTAATGAGCCAGAGAACATTGGATCTTGACATGTCATTGGTTAGACAAAGCAGAAGCACAAAACCCAGAAAATGACCTTTATGATGACAACTTATTCATCTGACATTTACAGGCTAGATAGGAGGAGGAGGAGGAGAAGACCAGGTCTCATGGTTTGAGACAGGCCAATGTTAAAGATACTCTTCACTGAAAATCAGACAGCAGTGTAGGCTGTTTGGGATGGCACTCAAAGGAGCCAGACTCGCAGCTTGGTGATACCTGGCCTTCTCTTTCAAAGCACCTCTCAACAACCTTGGTTGGTATGTTATCCACACCTTCCTTGGATAATAACCTGGCCACAATTAAGAATATAAGAAGAGCTCTGCTGGATCAGATCAATAGTCCACGTAGTCGAGCTTTCTGTCTCACACAGTGGCCAACCAGTTCCTCTAGAGGGCCAACAACAGGGCATGGGGGTTGAGGTCTTCATAAGAACATAAGAAGAGCCCTGCTGGATCAAACCAGTGGTCCATCTAGTCCAGCTTCCCATCTCACACAGTTGCCAACCAGTTCCTCTGGATACTAAATTCCTCAACTGCTGGAATTCCCTTGCTTTACAAACACTGTGGGGGTCCAGTCCTGCTCTGGACCACTTCATGGGGGAAGAGGCTCCTATTTCCCATGTCTTGAAAATAGTATGGGGGAGGAGATAGGAGCTCCTCCCCCACACTACAGTCCTGTGTAGGATCAGGCCCCCCCACAGTGTTTGTAAAGTGAGGGAATTCACCAGTAAATGGTGGTGGCGTCCCTTATAATCTAGGTTGGCTTTCAGAAGAGCTAATAAGAGACAGGACCTTTTTCATAGCTGGCACCACACCTTGGGAACACTTGCCCTAGGAGACCCACCTCACACTTCTACTGATAGCATTTGGATGCCAGGTAAAGTCGTTGCTCCTTTCTGGGAGTTGCTTGTTTTATTTTGTGACTGAAGTTTCGCCCCCCCCCCCTTTCTTTTTAGAAGAGTTTTGGCCATTCAGTGTGATGTTTGCTTTTCCTTGCTGTTTTTATGCTCTTTGGGTTTTTTTTAATAAGCTATACTGCTGTCATGTTCTTTCTTCCTCCTTGGCGTGTATGTGTTCATTATATTATCCATTTTTATTTGCGAGCTGTTTCTGACCATTATATGATTGGAATGCAAGTGTCACTGTACAAGTCCACCATGATACTCAAATCCAAACAGCCAAAGAACTAGGTGTAATTTTGCCCAGATGGCAGAACAACTTTTCCATTGTGTATGTCTTCTGCTGCAGATTGCAGCTTCTTTAAACAGGCTTTTGTTTAAACAACAACAACAACAAAAAGCTGAGACAACTACAGGAACCTGAGAGTCACACAAAGTTGTGGCTTTGCATCTCAAAGAGGTTACTGGAGAGCTGGAAAAGGTGCAGAGAAGGGCAACAAAAATGATCTTGGGGTTGGAATGCCTTCTGTATGAGACAAGATTAAACTACCAAGGGTTTTCTAGTTTGGGAGGGGGAGGAGACAGTGACAGATGTCTACAAAAGTATGCACAGTGTAGAGAAAGCAGAGAGTAACTTTTCTCCCTCTCCCATAGAACTAGAACTCAGGGTCATCTAGGACCGGCAGGAGATTTAAGATCGACAGAGGCAAAAACTATTTTACAGGGCTCTTTTTGTAGAAAAAGCCCAGCAGGAACTCATTAGCATAATAGGCCACACCCAACAGCAGAAACTCATTAGCATATTAGGCCACGCCCCTGCCAGCACAGCTCATTAGCACATTAAGACGCACCCTCATGTTACCAGAAGTGTGGTCATCCAGCCACACCCACCTTTTGCTTCTTATTCTGTTTACCTTGTTTGTTGTCAAAACCCAGGGCTTTTTTGTAGCAGGAACTCCTTTGCATGTTAGGCCACACATCCCTAATGTAGCCAATCCTAATGAATTTCTGCTGCTGGGTGTGGCCTATTATGCTAATGAGTTCCTGCTGGGCGTGGCCAACTTGGGAGCCAGTTCCTGCCCAAAAATAGCCGATTTTACACAACAGGTAGCTGACCTATGGAACTCACTGCCACAAGATGTAGTTAGATGGAATTAAAAGTGGGTTAGACAAATGCCTGGAGGACAGATTGCTGAATGAGATTTCCAGGTTCATATCTATGAA